CGTTGCGCCACGGATCTTTAATTAGGTATTTTTTAGGTGATTAGAAGGTATTAAAGGAGTCACCGGTGGTTATTAGTGCAGGTCGCACCCAAGTCAAACCTCATACTTGTTATTTCCATTAGAAGAGAGTATTGGATTGTGGGAAAATCAATATTTATGAACACAAATGTCGCACATGCGCAGCGTGACGACTACCACCCTTTAAATGAACAATTGTAATCTATTCAAAGCATGTTTATCTCATTTAGTAGATTAGGACAGTTTGAGCCAAATTTCTCACTTCATATATGCAATGCAATTTGAGAGATAATTTCCTATTGCATATATTAAAGCAGAGGAGTCATCACCTGCACATGCGTCAGATGGCCATAGCGTGTCATTGCTTACAAACAAGCGTCTACCCATGAGACTTTGCGTTTTCATAGTATAGTATAGTATAGTGATTTTTGATTTACGGATAAATAAAACGAAATTACATTAATGAACGTGACTGATAACTTTTACTATAAAAACCTTAGCATCCCGTTGGCAGGCCAGTCACACTGGTTCTCACTACAAGAGGTTACGATCCCCCCTGCCAAATACTAAGGAAAACTGAAACGTATATATACATATTTACATAAAATATTGTCCACCTATGCGGATCTGTTGGTGCAAGGTTTTTATGACCGTATGCCCTTACTGACGTCAACCAAACATTTTATGTGGGAAGTTGGCACCCAAGGCTGACAGGTACTACACCTTGCCCAAGGGTGACCTGGAGGTAGTTGTGGCAAAGGGTAACCCCATTCTTCCAAGTCCATAGACTCCACAACCGGATGTAGTTTAAAATCTTGCCCAGGATAAATATATACATAATTAAATGATCATACACGTTGCCTTTATCAGCGTAGCGTAGCGTAGCGAAACTATCATTTGAGGTAAATAATTTTTTAAGTAAGTTATCTTTGAATAATTTTTGAATTTTTTCATCATAAACTGAAACCATATTTAGAAATTGTATACGACTATTCTTAATTTCAATATTTTCACAGTCCATGAATGCATGAGTTTCACTGCCAACAGTCCCTAGATCACATAGTATCAAGGTATTCCTTGATATCTCAACTTTTCAATTGGAAGTGAATGAGCTGAAATTCTAAACCTAGTTAAGCTGGCTCGATGTTTTATATTTTTCATAAGATCCAGGTATGGCTCAAATTTGAATGCTAATATATTTTGTTGTATGTTCGTAATTTGTTATTTTCTGCTTTTTGTAGACTTTGCAACCAAATATTTTCTACATACAATTGTTTTAACTTTGTTTTAAATTTGAAA